GCTAAAAGAATTGACAAAATCCTACACACTGTTCCTTTAAAGCCGTAGGGAGGACTGTAACACTTCCACTGAAATACACCAGAAACAGGTTATACATGGGGTGTGAACATAAACACACAAAACCCAGGATGATGATGTRTTGTAGTGGAGATTAGAGGCGGTGTTATGACACTATTGTTTACATGAAAACACGAAGGAGACTTAAGAATTTTTTCCACTTTCACTTCTACAGCATTGTGTGGTAGAGCCAGAGTACCTGCTTCTCAGTATTGGATAAAAAATATAAATGTTTGAAAAACTTGAGGTCAAAACAAAAGACTTCCTACATGTCGTCACACCTCTACATCAGGTACCGTCCTGCCATCCAGCTAGAGAGGAGAAAACGAAACCAACTTTCACAAAGWCTTSTACTGTAGAGCAGTGGTCCWCAAACTACCCRGCCTGCCTCCACATTTGGCCCGGCCCCCTGAACGATACCAGAGAGGCATTATGATTTTTTTAGTCTGCCCTATGAACTAATAGAGGTCTGAACCAGAGGTTGCACTAGACTTTTTGGTGTACGTCATTTTGACTGACAGGGTAAGAAAAAAATCCATCATCAATTTTTACCTGTCACTTTCTTTTTTAAATGATAATGACTAAACATTCATAGGTTTCCCGTGTTTCCATCAAGGCTTTTTGATGCGCATTTAGAAGTGTCGCATTAAAAATGGGAAAAAAGTTGGATGGGAACAGCAAAATTCGGAAAAAAAAATCCTCTATTCGCTAAAAAGTTTTTACGCTCGCTTGAGGTGGTTTTTGTTTTTTTTCGAAAAACACTTAATGCGCAAAAGGAGAGATGGAAACACTTTTGCAGAATAAGTTGTGACATAGCTAACATTTACCTCACATAGCTGATGAGCTGTTCCCCGTACYGGTACCAGTTTCTGGTCGGCTGCAGCCGCGACTGGCAGCAGAACCCTCCTCCCGCTGTTTGCGTCTTCTCAGTAATCCCGTAACGTGAAGAAAACTGCATTTCTTTCTCTACGTCTCCAGACAGCAGTAACATCGCCAAAACTAGTTGATGACAGAATAATTACAACTTTCCTGATTGTAGCAACACGTTCCTGATAACTTCTCTCAATTATCCTGAGAGGTGTGGACCCTGCCAGTTTAGCGACGGTTACCGTATTTTTCGGACTATAAGCTGCACCCACCATTTTAAAAAAAAACCCGCGAACATTAACATATAAGCTGCACCGGACTATAAGCCGCACCCCCAACATAAAAAAACAGTACACCCAAATTTACCGTCAAAAAAGTGAATTCAACATCAAAACATAAAAAGCAAACCTTTAGGAATTAAAGTTCGGAGGAATATGGTTCA